GAAGTAGCTCCTCAGTTATCCTAACGAGGCTGAGTGGACGCCGTTCCAGACCCACTACTTCTCAGAAAATCTGATACGGTCGGGAATCGAACCCGGGACCTCTGGAACTGGAGAGTAAATTGTGGTCGGGGTGTAAGGTTGACAACCTCACCGCTATCTGTGAGCCGATTGTCTGGAAGATGTGAGAGCCTCGACCTCTGACACCCCTTTGGGCCTTCACGGCCTGTTAGAGACAATTTTACATTTTTACCTTTTTCGAAATGTTCTGTGTAATGTGTTCACGTACACGTATTACATACGTATAAATCCGATGCCTCATTATGCTATGGAAGTTTGGCTAGTTGATAAAATCTGTAAACAGGAGCAATACAAGAAATACGCTTATTTGTGAATACCCAATTAATTAATTAATATTAAATAATAAATGCTATTTATGTATTATTTTGATCTCTGATGAGCTAATGAATTGATGCGTCCTCTGTTATTTATCGCTAACAATTCAACAACAACAACAACAATTGGATATATTGTGTACCAGTAAAACTATACTGATTGTATTATCTAGGTCCATAAAGAGAATGGGGTAGCAGAGACGTCTCGTTCAGGCCTCTGGCCTAGAGAGGCGTCATATATACTGTTATTTATTTTGAGAAATACGTAATAATAATAATAATAATAATAATAGTAATAATAAACAAAATATGTGGGAATGCCGTTTAACTGAGTTATTAACATACTGTCACGTGTGTGAGTGACTATAGAAGGGGATTCGATTGGAGATTGGATGTATTGACCATTTCAACACACGACTCGTGACTACACCTAATTACAGCGCCATTGCTAATCTCAACTCTTCACAAATCACTACAGCACGCGTTACATCTTTCCAATCTGCTGTGTCTTCATAAGTCGTTGCCTGGTAACAATTCCAACAATGGTTATTCCTCTGCTTCCTTTTCCAATTCCTCTCTGAATGGCAGCTAACTTGTAACTGAACTATTCTTGCTTCAGTTGTGTTCCTTATAACCCCTTTGCACGGACCGAGTAGAAAACACCGTTTCCAAAAGTATCTTTATATTTGAATGAGTATCCGTTGCCACGGAAAAGTATTTACCGAACCGTTGCCTAGAAATTGCTCTGGTATACTTGCTTATCTCGCGGTCATTGCGTAGCAACGGCTCTAGACGCTACATCATTATTCCTGGCCGTTCATTGGTATTAATTTGCACTGTTTAGATAATTTTAAATTTAAAGAAACGTTTGCATTGTTGTCCGTCAGTTACATTGTATATCAAGAGATAATTAGTCAAAAGTACATTTTAATATCATTAACACAAATGTTTATATATAATTTATAACTTTTATTGTTAATAACTTAAAATTTTTACAGTGGATTATCGATTTTCCAATTATTCTTTAATCCGCTTTTATTAATGTCCGACAACTTGAAATTATTTTTTAAGATTGTTATAGAGAAGATGTAATTAGTGGTTGATAAAGAACAATTAAAATATGTTAAGTTATTGTGGTTTTTGGATTGGGATGAAGGACCGAAATTTGTAACTGATTCAGGCTCTGGTATTTTCTGCCTTTGCTTTTTGCCCATCTAAGTAACTAATTAACTAATGAACTCCATGTAACAGAGTCAATCTTATGAAGCTAATACTCGTACGAGTTCAAGTTAAGAAATTCCTCTCCTGTTACCTGACAGGAAGATTCATTACCAAGATCACGAAAAGCCCGCCAGTCCCCATCCTCACACTCTCTTTCTTCAAAAATGTGTTAAATATTGCCTCTATTCGAGATAGGGCTATTTCACTGTACAATTCCAAAACTGTTGAGAAGAAAAGATATTACGTATTGTTTCTAATACCGGTATTTATTGTTCAAGTGACAAAGTTGGTACAGTTTACCTAGTACAATACATTTTCCAAAATTCCACCGTCAACATCAGTGCACTTTGCAACTCGTGTGAGGACGTGGCGTGTTGCTCGTCTGTGCAGTGCACAGTGTACTGTGTAGTGAAATAGCTCTATCTCGGTGCAACTCGTGTGAGGACATGGCGTGTTGCTCGTCTGTACAGT